TTTTTTGTCTGGCAGTGGCAGCAGATGTGCGATCAAATTTCTAATTTGAGGCTGTATTACGTCGATTCTGGCACCCAACATCACAACAAGATGATATTTTAAGCTCATGTAGCCGAATCTGTGCTGGTTTGAATGGGCCGCCTCCAGTTTCCCCTTTGTTTTACTGCCTCTAGCTAGCGCTGTGACTGTCACTCAGAAAACAACAGGCCAATCAGAAGAGAGGCTCATCAATATCAATTAGACAGGCCAAAATCGACCTGTTCTCAGCAGAGCTCCTGAGAAAGGAGCTGTAAAAATATATTGAGATGGTTTTTGGTACTTATACCGCAAATATGTATTCTTAAGGACATCAAAACCTAAAATAAAACTCCAGAAAGGTGTAAAATATGTGACCTTTAAAACTGCCACACAGGAAGAGTGAAGCCAAACCTCCCCACCAGATGACCTCCACATTGAATCCACCAGGATGATTCATGGCCAAAGAGCTCAACCAGTTCCTATTCCTCTTAAAAAGATCCGACTCTTCTGTAAACACAGCCAGTCAGAGAAGCATCTGAACCCTTCTCCACCCTGTCATGTTGGTGTTGATTTCAGCAGGTCAGATTTTACAGTTAAACGATCCAGTGCAACTGGGCTGGACAGTTTCCTTCTAAAAGCAGGACTACAGGTTTTCAAAGATTACCCTGCAGAAATATTGACTTCTTGCTCACTTTTGAAAAATTTCTGATTGCATAAACTCTGAAATCTCTCTTGCTCATGTTTTTCTGCTTTCCAGAGGAAATAAAATAATTGAAAAAGGCTTAGAGGAAGATAAAACGATATAGTACAAAAACACACACTACAAAGTCTGAATAATGGTAAATAAGATGAATAAGATAAAAACTCATTGTGAGTGGAATAGAATGACCATCCAATCATTAATCAGTAGAAGATGCTTGGCTATGAAGCATCCATGTAAATGCAGGCTAAATTTTGTTATTATACTGGATCCTCCATACAGTTTAGCATGTATGAGTTAGGATAAGGTCAAATACAGCATGATGCATCACAATCACAGCCAATCAGAACATTGTAATGTTAAGTGTATAGTGAAGTGCTCCTTTTAATGCTAACTATATAGTTAAGACACTCATCTCCGTTTTTTGAAAGAAATTAATACTTACTTAGTAAAGCATCCTTGCTGAATGTCACTTTTATCCAATTTAAAGACACTTATAATGTTACAAAAGATTTATATTTCAAATAAATGCTGGAATAGGACTGGAATAAATAATTCTAATATATTAAAATAGAAAACAAGTATTTTAACTTTTAATATTTTTTAAATATATATTTAAACAGGAATAAATTACATTTTAAAATGTAAAACAAGAATTCTGAATTTTAGAAATATTTAAGAATACTACCATTTTACTGTATTTTTGATGCAGCCTTGGTGAGCATAAGAGACTTTGAGCATCAAAAACATTAGAAGAAAATCTGATGATAATGATGATGATGTTGATTATTATTATTAGTTACAAAATAATAATAATAACAATAATAATAGTAGTAGTAGTAATAATAATAATAATAATTATTATTATTATTGTTTTTATTTTAAAAATGCACAAAGAAAACAAGTCTATTGATGGTTATCACATACTTCAGAATAAAAAAATGCAAAAAAATAAGAAATCAGGACATATGTGGCTTATTCTGTTCAAATCATAACCTCTGGAGTGCAGATTAAATGACACTTATGGTCATTATGACCCACTTGCATCACACTGGCCAAAACGAATACCGTGTCAGTCATCTGAAATGAAATGTCAGAAGCGCTGTGCACTGGGAATTATGTAAATGTGTGTTTGAAATAGTCACAAAAGCTTATTGCATTTTTTAAGAGAAAGAAACCTAATACAAAAGAAAGCTCCTTCATCCTTCCCACAGCACCTCAGCAGTGAGCAGCAGTATTAAGGTCCTCAAATCATTTTCCCTAAGAGGATTGTGCTCAGCTCTGCGTTCAGCTATAATCACCAGGAATCGGTCCATATTTTATAGCCAATCCTCCCAGAGAAGTTATGGGCTCAGCTCTCGTTCATGTCACCTACACTTGTTGTCTTACCAAGATGCAAAATTCGACTGCGAAACAAAAATGCCTACAGTGGTTGTCTTTCACCAC